TAAATTACAGTGATGCCCACAATTGTACAAGAGAAGGATTTCTTTTTAGAATAATTTAATTATCAATTAAATAAATTATCAACTATACTTATATTTTTAATATAATTTAAATTTGATGATTCATATATTTTAGACGTGGTTGCGTGGTTGCGTGGAGATAAGAAAAAGAAAAGTCTTACATTGGATAAGTATGAAATCAAGGTTAGTAGTGGTTGTACCACAAACAAAAAGGGTTGTACAAGACAGTAGTGGTGGCACACCACGTGGCTTAGAATTGGACACAAATAGACGCATGCGGCGACTCACAATAGTTAACCTACAAACACACCTGCCTACGTAGGTCCCTTTTACTCTCTTGTCTTTTGCACTTTGTTGTCTCCATTCCATCCATGGAGTCATGGACCCTCTCGAATGTATTAAGCCCCGATTGACGATGTTTTAAGTAATAATTTTTAGAAAAATGTGGGATTGAGAATTAGAGTGTGTTTGAGACACATTCTTTTGAAAGAATGTATTATTGAATAGTAGATTGATGGAGAATGTGTGGTTAAAAATGAAGGAAAAGTTATTGATTTGATGGAAAATATTATTTTATTGAAAATATGTGGTTGAAAATTAGTAGAAGAATAAGAATGAAAAAAATTGTGTACCAAACAGGGCCTAAACTAGTTGTACACACTTGGTGTACTTTAAGTTTGACACTCCATGTTGTGCCATTGATTGTTTAAGATATTGTTAAAATCAATGTGTAAAAAGCAACCACCTCACAACAATATCAAACTTAAATGTCAACAGAATTCACATGTAGCATGATTGGTATGCTTGTGTCACCAATTTGTTTGGTGGTCATGGTACTGGAAAGTTGTCTTGGGATGCAGTTCTTTGATTGCTGAGTTTTTATATTATATGTACAGGCGAGAGGATTGAAAAAACATTTGAAGAGACTCAATGCCCCAAAGCATTGGATGCTTGACAAGCTTGGTGGAGCATTTGTAAGTTAAAAATTGTGTAGCCACGTGTATTTCTTGTTCCGGTATAGCTTCCTTATATACTATCTGATGTAGGCTCCCAAGCCATCGTCGGGGCCACATAAATCAAGGGAGTGCTTGCCGTTGATCCTTATTATACGAAACAGGTTGAAGTATGCTCTAACATATCGTGAAGTCATTGCCATTTTAATGCAACGACATGTTTTGGTTGATGGGAAGGTTCGGACAGATAAGACTTATCCTACTGGCTTCATGGGTATGGGTTGTGACTGCATTCCTTTTCTTATCATATGTTTCAATATTGGTTATATAATGGCAGTAAAATGATGCAAGAGTGAGTTTCTTGTCATAATAATATTGCTAAATAGAATCTTATGATCCCTGTTGTGGTAATGATGCCTTTCATCTCCAGATGTTGTTTCAATTCCAAAGACAAATGAGAACTTTCGTCTCCTCTATGACACTAAAGGCAGATTCAGGCTTCATTCGGTTAGGGATGAGGAGGCAAAGGTTTGTTACGTTATCTTTGTGTGTGTGACTTGTAGGTTCTCTTGAAAAGTAATGTTGTTTCCGAGAAGTTAGTTTTAGAATTGTACATTCCGAGCTTCCCTTCCTCACTGCAATTGTTCATTCAGATGTTCTCACCCTGATTTCGTGACAATAAATAATTTCTCTGTGGACTATGAATTTTCGATATATCAAAGGAACCAATTATTCCATGCTGATGTTCCAGTTGTAATTTCTTTCGTGCTACTTGTTGAAAGGTAATATATTTCTGGGTCTGATGAAATGTTTTCTGCCTACATCCACCAGTTTAAGCTTTGCAAGGTTCGATCTGTCCAATTTGGGAAGAAGGGAATCCCATACCTCAACACTTACGATGGCAGAACCATCCGTTATCCAGATCCTCTCATAAAAGCCAATGATACCATCAAGTTAGATTTGGAGTCCAACAAGATTGTTGATTTTATCAAATTTGATGTTGGGAATGTAGTCATGGTCACTGGTGGAAGAAACAGAGGACGTGTTGGAGTCATTAAGAACAGGGAAAAGCACAAGGGTAGCTTCGAGACCATTCATATCCAGGATGCACTTGGGCATGAGTTTGCCACTCGTTTAGGAAATGTTTTCACTATTGGTAAAGGTACTAAACCGTGGGTATCCCTACCCAAGGGAAAAGGTATCAAATTGTCCATCATTGAAGAGGCACGGAAGAGGCTTGCTGCCCAATCGGCTACAACTGCTTAATATCATTTCGTCGCATCACAACCCGGGACAGGATAGATTGAATTTTGAAATTGATGTTTCTTTTTTCGAGCTATAGTTTTTACCTGTTTTCAGAATATCAGTTTGTGTTTGAATGCTTTCAGTGCTTCTGTTTGGTTAACTAATAGATTGGATGATTTCGGAATATCTAATTATGTCTGTACTTGTCTATTTACAACTAGAAATAATGCATTTGTAGAACGTTTCACAAGTTGAAAAATGCTTCAAGTTAGTTGCTTCATATATAAAAATGTTTACATTTTGTCTCGAATTCTCTGGGATTCTGTTAGAATGTAATAATAGCACTTCTTGTTGATAACCCAAGTGGTCCGTTTCAGTGGTTGATGAATAATATAACCGGAACAAACAGATTGGTTTTGAATTTTTCAAATAGACCAGAAGGTAATGGGTAAAAAGACGAAAACTGACCATCTAAATTTGTGATTTTTGGTGCAGTCCAGTTCCAAATTAAACAAAGTTACTGAACCTAGTCTGCTGCATCTATGTCGTGTTTCTCAACAGAAAATTAGTCTCCCAACCCGAAGATGCGAATGTAATTAGGCACCCAAATAGGATTAATACGCAATGGCATCTTGTGTTAACCTTTTTAGAGACTCAAAAGGGAATTCTAAAGAAATGCCTAGAAATAAGTAATGGGAACAAGGAAAAGTAGTCCTGGCCACTTTGTGGAAGTGACTGAGCCTATGAAACAAAAAACCAGTAAAGGGAGAAATCACACATCTGAAATTTTCCCTTCTCCCCATCATTAATGGCACAAGGGAAAAGGCAGCATCTCCGGATGTAACAAATTGGACCACCATTTCACTAACCTACCACTACTGAGGATCTCCCCCCTAATCTTAGCTAGGTCGTCTGAGGGTTCGCCGCGGTTCATTGCTGTGCTTACACACTAGGCNTAAAAATCTTTTCAAAAATCAGGTGTTAAATCAATTAATTAAATATTTTTAATTATAATATAATATAATTACCCAAATTTATTAAATTTCAAATCCAAATCATTCTCTCTCTCTATCTCTCTCCTCTCCCTACCCCTTCTCTCCATCGGAGGCTGCCATCTACTCCGACGGCCGCTCCAGCAGTCGCTCCGACGACTATTCCGAAGATCACCTCGACGATCAAATTGAAGTCGAAAGTTGTTGAAATTGTAGTCTCCTATATCCAGTACTAACTAGCTGGAAAAAACTTAAAGTTAAATACAACAGCAGCATTCAAGCTTCAATTCAACTTGAAAACACCAGCAAAGGGATAAATAAACTTTAGACATGCCCCTCCTCCTTCCTAGTTTCGGAGTATAGTCTATCTATATACTTGCTGTTGCTGTTGCATATCATAAGGAGCAGGTGGACCATGAGGTACTACTGGTACAGGAGGAGGAGCATACTGGAAAGCAGGAGCAACACCACCCTGTACCTGCAATATAGAAAATTGTAAGTTCTGTGAGATTTCTTACATTTCAAGACATAAGAAAGAAACTGAAAGCAGCCAGTAGCACACGTGCCTGATCTTAGGCTGTTAGCCATTGAAATGGAATAATGTCCAAACTCAAAATATTTCGTGAACTGAGTGAAATAAAGAGAATCTTTGGGATTAAAAAGTGGAAAGGGGAAGATAAAAAATTACCCTTGGGAAAAATTCTTCTATCCAAACAACCCAAACCAGCAATATTGGATTACTCCCACTACACTAATATTTTTTCTTCTTCTGATTACATAGCATTAACTCCAGATAAACTCTCCTTCTCTGTCTTCTCTTTTCCTGTGAGACCCATGCCCTAGAATTTATAAAGCAAAGTCATGTTACCTTGTTTCCTTGTTCTGGTTCACTAGGTCTTCCCTCAACTCTTATCTTAGACATCAACCCAACCCTCTCCAACTTCACTTTTCTCATAAAAGAGGTCGTGTAAGAGGTTTCCGTCCAAAATGGTGTTAAATCCAAATGGGACTCACGTTTACCCTTGTTTTTAAATGAAACCAACTGCCAATGACTCAGAGGTAAGGACCCCCCGGCTGCAATTTTTCTCAAAAGATAAAGAAAATAAAATAAAATGAAGTAGGGTACAAAATAGCAAAAGTTACTATTCCTGGTGCTTTTGGATTCCTTTCTTCTCCCTTTTAGTTCAAAACTACAACCCACAAATTACCATATTGAAATCAGAAAATTGTACTCTTATCCAGAGTCAGCCACAGTACCGAACAAGACCAGCTCTAATCCTTAACCATTCAGCTTCTTGTAGACTGTGATACAAAGCTACAGTAGAAAACCCTCAACCATGTGCTAAAGGATAAAACAATTTCTGCACTCGTTAACCTATCTTGACGTGTTATAGGAAATAATATTTCCAACTATAAATGCATGCAAATCCCTTCTAAGTTATAATGTGCAGTGATAAGTAACAGAGGTATAAGGAAGAACTCGAGAAATTAAGAAACACATAAAAAGGCACATTTGATGGAATTTAAAAAGAATTAAAAGCTACATTTTAGAACTGATCCGCTATTAAAAGGAATGAGTTGCAAAACTCAGCAAGTTGAAACATGGAAGTTTAAAATCATCCACAGTGAATTTCCCGCTTTTGCATATCTATTTACTTCGTCATGTAGCTACCGGATATTTTCTACTGTTTATTGCAAGCAATGGATTTAACTTGTAATATAATGACATATTGAGACACTGTAAGAGAAGAATGGTTTGAAAGGAAAAACTCATTTAAAATAATAGGATAATGTGCATATAACAAACCTGATGCGCCGCATAAGGACCAGGACCAAAATTTCCACCATATCCAGTTTCAAGATTCGGGTAACCTGTAGGTACATGGAAACAAGTAATGACAGGTTATACGCTTTAGGGTTGCTGTGAGACACATGAAAAACAATAACATTTGCATAATTATATAATCGTGTTCCTTTTTAAAGTACCTTGAGCCACAGCTGCAGCCGCAGCCGCTGCTGCTGCCATTGCCTTTTTTTCTGCATTGGCAAGTTCAGGACGCAATTTGTTGATTTCCTGAGCCATAGATTTCATATGCTTCTCCATTGCTTCACTTAGTTCAAGGTTATTGCTATGCATCTTTCTTTCATATTCAATTGCAGACCTTTAACATTCACAAGCAGAAAAATGCAATGAAATGATTTTCAAAAAACAACTAATCTTTTGTTCAATGAATTTAACTGGGACAGTATCATCCCGGTAGACGGATTTCCATATTTAAAACCACAAATCAGATCATGGGATATAGAAAAGAAAGCCAGTGACTGTTCCCACAAGGAAAGATAAATATTGGTACGAAATGAATGAATGTAAACACTGATGCTGTCCAATATTGGAATACGTGTACACTTATAACCTACGGGTTTAAATTTGACGGACATACTACTAAAATATCTCATAAACACGTGTAACTTTCAGGACAACCATCACATTTTTATGAGATGAGGAATTTATCAGTTTGAAAAGTTATTAATATGAAATCTCTAATGATAACAGTAAAGCTAAAAAACATGATTGATCTCAAAAGAAAAATACATAGCACTGCCATTTCCAGATAACAAAGTTAATCCACAAAAAGAGACGTCAACGAAACGTATGCAGTCATGACAATTGTTCCAACAACGATTGTCAAATCCTTTTATTTTGTTTCACTTTGTTGTACCAATTACATCAGGTCATAATTTTTTTCCTCTTGCGGTGCGCTTTTGATTGGAGTCTTTATTTTGCAATTAATGGATTCACGATTCTTTGTGTGTAAAAGTTACACATCTAGGTGCTATCCCTCATAGGTGACAAAATAATTCATATTATTCCTGAACATAATTGCATAATGTAAGATAATTTTCCGATCATATAGGCAGAATTTGGAAAAAGTGCCACTAATTAATAATTATGCGAAATTACATACAACGTGATAAATGTATATACCTTCCTCGCTGGATTTCTTTGCGCAGGACTTCAGTCTCAGCCTTGACGGCAGCCATTTGCTGCAACTCCAATTGGGTCTTTGCAAGATCGACATCAATGTCCTTCAACTTCTGAGCGAGCTCCTTTCTCTCCGCCCGGAGTTCCTCGATATTCGCTCTGACTTGGTCCACCTCAGCAACAAGCCCATTAACGGAACGGGCATCTGCCTCCAATTTAAGGGACCGCTCGTAGACCTCACGGACCTGGGCGTCCCTCTCGGCCTTGACGGAGGCGGCAGTGGCTGTGAGACGGTGGATGTCTTGCTCAGCGGCGGCCAAATCCTGTTTGAGCGACACGTGGGCGTTGGCCAGGCGCTGGTTGTCCAAGAGGAGGAGTTCGATATCGCGGCTCTGGGCAATGACGCGCTCCTCGAGTAAATTGGCCGGGGCGTCCGGTGGGGGGAGGCGGTGAAGAGAGCTTTGTTGATTTGGGCGGAGATTTAACCCACGTGGGGCTATGTAGTTTCGACCCGCCATGGCGGTCTTCCGATCGGGCGACCAGTACAGGGAATTGGGGAGTCGGAGCTTTAAATAAGGAGGAAACGCTGTTAATATTTGTTTAAAAGAACAAATCAATTTTAATTTTTTTAATATTTTGAAGGCAATCCATTACTCTATTCTGGTCAGAAATCTCAAGGAGGTAACATTTATACACACTAGTAAAGTGAGAAAAATAAAAAAATAAAAAATTATATTTACAAAGTCAAGCTCTTACATTGTTTTAGTAACTTCACCAAATGAGTGAGAGAAAGCTCGTGGTTTAGGGTTGGAGAAGTCCTATGATGGGACATTATTTATCGACTTTAGACTAACTACGCATCAATGCATCGATGTGCTCACACTGGACTTTCTAGTGTTAGATTAGATCACATCATAGATTAGGCCCCTGTTCGGGGAGGGCCGGGAGGCATTTTTTGAAGAATTATAATAAAAAATGTGGACGTTATATAGTGAAGGGGACAAGGATTGCAGCCTTCGTTTCTAACAAATCAATTGAGAATTTTGAAGAAAAATATCATTTTGCCTCTTAATTGAAGCATTAGATCTATTAAAGCAGGGCGTTTTGAAGATTTACTTATAGAAAAGGTTATTTGCAAGATTGTCAACTATTTGTGGTTGGTCTGACTGCAAGTTACTATTATGAATTTCGATTTTTTTATTAAAATATGGGAAGAATGGTACCCAAACATGCGCTAGATGTATCAAAACATACAAATGTAATACAAAATACTAAAAAGGGAATACAATGACCACGTCGTGATAAATTTCGACGCCGATGCTTCAAAGAAACCATTTAGGAAATAAACGTTGATGAATATATATACGAGTAAATTTCATAAATGGTAACTCAAGTTTAAGCAATGTTGTAAATTAGCATTTTTGATCCATTTCGTCGCTGAAGTTAAATAATCGTACATAATTGATCACTATTTTAGTAGCATCTATTCTAGATTCAATGTCACTTATATGAATTAGACCGTGAGGTTGGACTTTGTGGTGTTTCTTGTTGAAGAAGATGATCGTTCTCGAATGAAGAAAATGACTCACATTTAGCCCATGTTTGTTTCCAATGAAAAGCAGAATTTGTACTGTTGCTTGTAATGGTGAGCCACAATATTTGACTATCTTGTGTCATAGTGGACCCCACAATTTTTTAAAAAACCCATAAAAAAGGCATTTTCTTGTTGAAAGTACCATAACTAACAATTAATGCCGATATGACAAACACGTCTGTTTCACTATAAGCATCTCCATGTAGTCTACCTAGTTGTGTGAACATAAAGTGACCAGTGGATTTTAGGGGTTGCATCTATGAGAAGGACTAGTTCTGTAACGTTATTTGACTCTATCGATTAAATGGATCAAAAAACACTTTGACAAATTTAAATTATTTATAGAACTTAGTGACCAATCATGAAATACACTTGAAATATATTAAGTGTAAATTGCAAAATTCGTCCCTGCCCTTTTTTCTCAAAGTTGCAATATTGTACATGCATGACCTTTTCTGCATCTGCTTTTTGTCACCAATCTTTGATAAATTAGCAATTTTGGTCATATTAAATAGTTCCCTTCCAAAAATCAATTAAATTTGTGCGAAATGACATTCTTTCTTTCAAACTTTAATAAATCAAAATAAAATAAAACGACAAAAAGACAAAAGTTATAGAAAAGGCAAAATAAAAGAGAATATGAAAAATAAGCAAAAGAGTAAGGAAAAAAAAGCCGCTAACACCAAGGATAGAACTCTCTAGTTTCTTTCGAATAAGAGTGGGTGGGCGAAACTTTTCTTTCCCCTTTTTTTCACTCTCATCTCCTGTTTCAGCCTGTGATTTATAATTTTTGTTATTTTTATTTTATTTTGATTTATTTAAGTTAGAGGGCAAGATTGTCATATTCCATAGATCTCTGAATGTAAACAATCAAAAGCACTGATTTTTCTAATTGATCAAAGATTTGAGGATAAAAAACCAGACAAAAAAGGGAGGACAAAATTGCAACTTTGGGCAAAGATTAGGGATGCAATTTGCATTTAACCACATAAGTCGAACCACCATTTGTATTTGATGAATGCATAACTTAGTCCTTTGTTTTAGATGAAAATAGATTTTTAATAGATTTTGATAAAAAATAATCAAATATATCTTTGAAAATTTGATAAAAATTGTAAATATCATAATATATAGTTGAAATAAGTTTAAGAAAAAATAAATTTTATAAAATGGAGCCAAACAGGGACTTAGTATCATGCTCTTGTTTTTCTTTCTTAGCCGTTTGACAACCATTAAAAATATGCTTTTTTTTTCCCTCAGAAAATGAGTTAAAAAAGTTGAAATTTTTTTAAGTTTACGTACAAAATATTTTATTGTGAGAATGTGATTGAAAATGAGTTTGAGAAAAACGAGTTTCAAATTAGTGATTGTATCCTATTAGAATATAAAGTTAAAATTAATTATTGATTTTAATTTCAATTAAAATCTAAGCCTACATTTGACAATTAATAAAGAGTTCTTTTTTTTGAAAAAATAAGTTTTGAATAGTGATTTTTTTGAAGGAAGGATGTATGGTTAAAAGTAAAATATCTTTTTGAATTTATATGTAAAATATTTTATTATAAGAATGTGATTAAAAATGAGTTCGAGAAAAAAAAAATTTGTTTCAACGATAGTTGGGAGTTTCAAACCCTATCAAACAAGGCATTAATAAATTTCTTTTTACTCCTCATCAAATCAAGTAGGAGATAATTTAATCAATGTTAGCTGAATTTTGCTATAAGTTACTACTTCCTCACTGGTCTTTGAAAAGTTACTTGGTGTTCACTGAACTTTATTATATGTTACTACTTGCTCATCGAAATTTTAAAAGTTGTCCGTTGCTCATATAAATTTGAATAAAGTTATTAGTCACTCATTGAACTTTACTATAAATAACATTGGTGAAAATAATATGAGTGATTGATGAATAACTTTGTTTAAATTTGGATTAGTAATTGATAACTTTTTAAATTTTGGTGATGAAGTAGTAACATATCACAAAATTTAGTGAGCAATGAGTAATTTTTTAAAGACGTTGAGCAAGTAGTAACCTCAGGTAAAGTTCAGTGACGATCGATTAAAATAACTCAATCGAGTAGTCACTATTTAAAGGGGAGTTCATTTAAATGCCCTAGTCAAAGGAAACATTTATTTATATACCCTATCATCTATCTTTTTTAGTTAGATAGCCCAAAGTTACAAAGAAAATAAAAAACAATTTACAAATTACTAAAATATCCTTGTATGTAAAAAGACATAAAACCCTATTTCCCCATTCAATTTCCATTTAGCCCTAATTCAAATCATTTCTTCCACATTCGAGATTTGACCTCCCTGCAATTATTCTTCTCCTTTTCTTATCATCAACTTCTCTCATTTTAAAACTCTAAAATCTATTGTCATTCTCTTGAACACTAATTTGGTTGAAGTGGGAAACCAATTCTTACAATATTCTTGTTGAACATTTGGAAAAGAAGAGAAGGTAATATTAAATTTCAATATCTATTTCGATTTTATTGGTCTTCTAAGGAATGAGAATGTAGTATGTATTTACTTGTTTCCAAAAATCTTTGGGTAGAATTGTTGAATTATATGCCAAAAATGTGTTTGATGAATTGCATCATAAATGTGTTTGATGAATTGCCTCAAAAAGAGGAAAA